TAGAAATGTTATTCATTGAAATAGTGTATTTGTGTATAATTATTTGACCAAAATTGATGTTATTGTTGTAAAAGAAAAGTGAGAAAGACATATTTTGGCATTTTTTCCTTTGTTATTATACCTCTCTCTCATTATATATTTGGTTTTAACTACCTGAATTAAATGAGGCACGCAAACTGTGAACGTGTCTGAGGAGAAAATTAAAAATGAACATTGTGTTTAATTCATAATGACTGCGTTGATACTCACTCGGGCGGGCTGAATTAACTAAATGGTACACGGGAAAAATATGCTGTATGCACATGCCGGTTAAATTTTTTACACTTCAGTCTTTACAAGCTACATTTAAACGCTTATTTAGGCTGGTTTGCAGTGTTTGAGTGCAGATTTTGACAGGCACTCACTGCAGAAGGTCAGCAATTCACCTGTAAGTCGAGCAATGACCCTGCCTAATTTCTGCTGTCCTTCAGGTGCAGCCTGACAGCCTCCTTTGCATTTTAATGCAGACAAGCTGATTATTAAATCTTAGAGGCTTTTTTTTGTCTAAAATAAGTGGTATGGGTTGCTTGGCAACCTGACTAGATCAAACACGGCTCCCCTCCCCCGTTTTGAAGCTCATAATTCTTCGTTTATATTCAGGCATCCAGTTCTTAATTAGATTAAGATGCAAAACCCCCCACTGCGAACAAATTCACACTGATGTATGAATTACACACACGCTCAAAATATAGCTTCGCTTTAATGATGTACACACAAACCCATTTTAAAATGTAGCTCCTCGGGAAAGCGGTAATATTTTTGAGAGGATATTTTATATCTAATGTTTCTAATAATCGATAAATATTTGTAAAGCGTATTAAGCATCTTTTTGTATTTTTCTAGCATTAAAGAGACATTTAATTTTGGCATTCGGGATTTTAAATTGTACTCTTTTATCTTTTACATTTTGATACAAATTAAACACGTATGATAGCAAATACAATTTAATATTTTTAAAGGAAAAATAAATCTGCCACACTACTGTATCACACAACACAAAATATACAGCACAAATAGAACACATTTATGCTCCCTAATACGTTCCAGCTCTTCGGTATGAGAAAGAGAAGCGTGCCCACAGACAGTGCCATACATTACGGTACACATGCACCCATTTCACCCAAATGGCACGGCTATTTGGAAAGGTGAGGACATTGCGCGTTGACATAAAGGGTCGTTTGGAGGACTTGTTGGAGCTTCATACTGTGAAGGATTGGATCTTCACCAGAATGGCTGCACTTTAACATCACTTCTATCTGCCCTTCTCTGCATTTCACTCAAAGCTAAGGTGCTCAGAATGATGGAGCACAATGTGTGTTTTCCACTCCCCTGTGATTAAATCCTGGCAAATATTCACAAATGAACTCAAGGTTACTTTGTTTTTAAAATAAAACATTTCTATCTACACTCACTGAGAGCGAGTCTCAAACATTTTTGCACTGTTTGCATTTTTCTTCAAGGTAAAGTTAAATGGATCATTTAATTTCACTCGATTCTCACTGGTCTCGCTGTGGAGGAAGAAGTTGTATGCATATAGCAAACCAAGGACAGTTGGATTTGCCATAAAGAGCATGGCATTTTTGCTCTCCCTGGAGCTATGGCTTTGATTGAATCCTGAAATGAGTTGAAATGTCACAAATCCCTACCAATATGCTGGGAAATGAAAATTGGCCTTGGGGTGTTAAGGTTCCCATTAAGGGTGTGCTTAACATATTCTGTTAAGTGTGGTTGGAGTGCATCGAAAATACAAAATCATTACGTGTCTGCGCACTCAACCAAAATGTCCCTAAAATTCCTCAACGCTGAGGAAGCCTTTCTGGTGAAGTGCAAGAGAGCTCGGGATCAGGCCTCCGCAGGACTGAAACGAGAGAGAAGCCCAGGGGTAGCTGGCTCACAATTTAACCTGCCAATATATGAGGAAAATGGGAGCAATTATCAGCTGGTTAATCCATTTTCCTGCAGACTGTTTATGAATGGGAAAACATTCTTGCAGAAATATTCATATTTATATAAAAAGATCTGGCTCCTTTTATGTCAAATTATAGTATATGATGCCTTCTGCAATGTCTCTTTTTATTATAAATAATAAACTCCAGCATGTCCTTTGAGGCTGGTAATGCCAGTCTGGCTTTGAATGCACTGATTTGATACAGCCATCCTCCTTCCTCTCTCAGGTAGCTGTTTTTAGGAAACAGGGAAATGACTCTGCTCGCTGCTTAGTATTCACATCACGTAAAGTGGGTCTGTGTTCCTCATTTAGTTCTGTACTGTACAGCTGGGGAGCTGTCCGCCGTGCGGCGGCAGTATGCAAATGACTCTGGATTTGAATGGAGATGGAGGTAGACACAAAGCTCAATTAGAGACAGAGAGGGAGAGAGAGATGGTGGGGGAGCTTTGAGTGTGTGAAGGGGAGGGGGAGGGGGGGAAAAACCTTGGCTGCTTAATGCCAACCTGAGGAAACCAATGTACGGACACATCCAAACACAAAGGCACCCACAGATGTGAATGCACTTAAATAGCCAGGCAGATTTCTAAATTCTTCAGACAGGCAGCTGATCTCTGAAGGCTCAGACAGCTCAGCTCTGTGATGCGTTTCGGTCACACCAATCACACTGACAATATCCCACATCAGCCATATCACACATATCATCAAAACAAAAAAGGTATCAGGCAAGCACAGGTGCACCTCCTCGTCTGTGTAGAGACTCTCCAATGTGGAAAAAAGTGGCATGGCGACCATTTTGTCCTTGGGTGTGTTGCCCAGCAGTACATATCACCTGACCCAGCGCCTGCATGAGTGTCCTTGGAGGAGTCTCTGACATCAGCAACTGCCACCCCTGGTTGCCATGGCAACGACAGCACAGTGGGGGGGATAGGGCATTTGTGCAGAATGGAGGGCAGAATAATTAATGAGCGCATATAGGGAGTTTGAATCAGGCTTTAATTGCATTTGTTGGTGTGTGAAGCATGGATTGAACGCTACGGCATAAACGGGGGAATATCAGAGAAGCCGTAAAAGAGATTAAGAAAGCTCAGTGGTCAGAGAAATCATTTGCATTATTGTCAAGGTTATTCCCAAATTATTTCCTTTCATTTAAGAAAGTTACTTCAGTGACAAGACAGTGAGGAGGTGCATGGGCAACGGGTTATGAGGATTAACCTCCTCCTCCTCCTCCTCCTCCTCCTCCTCCTCTTCCTGCAAAACATTTTCATCATCATGAACAGTTTACAAATATGTGTGTAAAGCCACACAGCATCAGTTTGTCGGTCAGCAGCTGACTTTGTGTCTATGAAATGTAATAATTTCAACAAGCCTGGAAAGATTTTTCATATGCAGCTCAGAAATAACAGACAGGAGTGCAGACTTGACTCTGGCTGGATGAGACTAACTTGATCAGGGAGGCACAGAGATCATTCAGTTGATCTGGTGATGGCACAAAAGTCTGAACACTGCCTGTCAGATTGTATAGCCACAACGTTCAGTCACAGGGACACACAACCTCACCTAACACTTCGTTTCAATTTAACAAACCACCGCTCTCTCACACACACACTTATTTACAAAGAATTTTACTTGCTGCAGCCTGCATCTGAGTCAACAGCATCAATGCATTTCTTGCCTTAAATAAATAGACTGCAAGCGGCATTGACTGAGTCTCATTACTGCCGGAAATATAAATAGTAAATGTCACACCTTGTGAAAGAAAAATACATATGTTTTAAAATATTCTAACACAAAACAAAAATACAAAATAAGTTATCTGCTCCACACTGGGAGATTATGCGAAATAGCAGAAGGAAAGGTGTTGGGTTACTGACAAGTCAGACGTAGCCTATAGTCTACATGCACACAGTCACGCACGCACGCAAGCATTATACGCCCTATCAGTGCGCGCACATACAGTAAACGTTGCAATGGTCTCATCAATAATGCATCGGCACTTCATGTTTATGCAATGTACAGGGCAAGCCCGAGCGATGGGTGCTGTAGATGCAAGCCTGCGCACATTGACCGCGTTTTACAAGCCTATCACAGATAGAGCTAAGACATTAAAGTTACAAATCTTTTCCGCCTCTAGAGAAAGAGATTAAGATAATAAAACAGTCCTCAGCACATACCTGTAAAGCATTATTTCTTTGATTCTGGTTTAAGCAGGCTTGAAGGGCTTCATGATAACACCGCACTAAGGAAATAAAACTGTAGCTGCGGTGATATGCAAATGTGGCTCCCGCTGAATGCAAGGGCATTTATTATTCATAAATTACTCATGTTTATGCAAATTACGGTATACAGAAACAGTGGTGGGGGTTGAGTAGCTCCCTCTAAACACACTGTGTGATTCAATTTCTGTTATGGTCTTCCATCTAAAATGATCCAAATCCAGGAATTTGACCAACATGGTCATGAAACACCCAGTTTCCATTCATCTAGTCAGTGAGATGAGGGTGGGAAAACAAAGGAAGTGGAGGCAACAATGCTTCATCAAATTGGAGAAAAACTGAAATGTTGGATGTATAACACTTAGTCCTGCAACGTAATGTAGGCCTGCATCCGTCGATCATTTTCATTTATTTAGGTTTATCTTTCGTTCTCAACCTTTGATCCCGGATGGAAGAAATCGTGTTTTTGATAAAAGATAGATCGGGACTTAAGTTTTAAATACATAGTAATTTTCAGGCTATATTAATATGATTTTACAATTAAACACTAGCCACAACTATAAACCTGCTATAAACGCATCTGTAAACATGCTGATGTATGAGAAAGGCTACCTCTTTAAGCCTAAAAATAAAACAAATGTGTGACTGTTAAAGTGTGTGTGTGTGTGTGTGTGTGTGTGTGTGTGTGTGAGAGAGATAGATAGAGGGAGGGAGAGCGAGCTACTGATAAATACATTTTATATGCGCACTTTTATCCTAAATTACGGTAGCAGCACGTCATCAAAAAGGGACAACGCTGACGTAACAGAGTGGCGACGTGCAGCAGTTTTATTATTGCTAGTGTTTGTATTTTTTTATACAGTGAATTTCAAGTTTTACGAGGAATTAAAGAGGCTGTTTGTACACAGCTACCTCACTACATAACTTTCTTCGTCAACGCTACCCAGTTTTGAATGGACTAGACACAAATAAAGTAAGTTAATTGATGTTAGCGCAAACCTGTAACACTGTGAGCAGCTACGTTAACTTTTAATTTCTATCAATGTTGTTTTCTTCGCCTTTATTTGGACATTTTTGCTTTCCAATTTTCTTGCAGAAGCAGCCATGTTCCACAACAGTTCACAGGGAAAATACTGGATATGGAAAAATGAAGACGAGATTGAGCAGAAGAGATGCAAGGCCAACCTGAAGTTCCGTAACAAGATACTGGAAAGTGGGAAGGTAAGAAGTACATAACACCAAATAATACATAAATTAAGACAATGTGTGACAGTTTACTTAACCTCCTCGCGCCTCTGTGAATCAGCCTGGTCTGAGTGAGTCCTCGTTCATGGAGCGGCACGAGGAGGACGTTTTATTCCGACACTATGAGAGGAGGATGATGGACTTCTGCAACGCTTTCAAGCCTGCAATGCCCAAATCTGTTGTGGTATGTGTGTGCGCTTTCTCATGATCTGTGTGGTCAAAATATCCATACTACCTGTATATATCTGACCCGTGTGTCTCTCACCTGTGCAGGGTACAGCCATCATGTACTTCAGGAGATTCTACCTGTTCAACTCCATCATGGAGTACCATCCTCGGATAATAATGTGAGTACATATGTTTAAAATGATATAAGCAAGCCTTTCCAAATCTTCCATGACCAATTAGTTCCTCTACTTGTCAGTTAAGCATAGGATACAACACAAAATGGCTTCCAGTTGTGTTTTAAATGATGGAAGTAATGTAATTTGGAACATATATCTCATGTTAGCAAACTATTATCTGTGCTTTTAGTTTTTATTAGTAATTTTAAGTGGGTGTGTATATTTGTTGTGCCAGTTCCCTGTATTCTACCCAGTCCACATCTGACATTTGGTTTAAAAACACAATAGTGCAGTCTTCATATTGGTTGGCAAACTGGCCTGGATAATATTGGGAAAGTACGTATGTATTGATGCAACATTTTAAAATATATTTTAAGATATCGCTTCTTAGCCCAACTTAAGTGGGAAAATCCTTTGCTTAAGATGTGTCGAGTGAATGTAGATGGCACTTAACATAACACTACTTATTGAGTTATTTCTCACTTCAATCTAGGTTCCAATCAATGTTATATCAAGTGTATAACATATTCCTTTATTTAGCTATAAGTTTAGGAATTCTTAAGAGTTTTGTATAACAATTATAACTTTTGACTTGCAATCCAACTATTGTTTAAGTTCACCAAAACTGCTAATAAGCCTTTTGTTCAGCCTTTTTTATTACCCGTGTACACAACCGGTTACAAACTCACCTCCCTGTTTCAGGCTGACGTGTGCATACCTGTCCTGTAAAGTGGATGAGTTCAACGTGTCCAGCACCCAGTTTGTGGGCAACCTTCTGCAGGAGACCCCGGCCGGGCAGGAAAGGGTTCTGGAGCAGATCCTGGAGTTCGAGCTTCTGCTGATCCAACAACTCAAGTTTCACCTGGTGGTCCACAACCCCTACAGACCCATGGAGGGTCTGCTCATCGACCTCAAGGTAGATCGATCATCATATGTTATTCTAATACACTCGTAGTGCAAATCTAGCTGAGTATGTGTCCTGTATAATATATGTTGTAATTGTAATGTATTTCAGACAAGATACCCAGCGCTAGAGAACCCAGAGTCACTGAGGAAGAGTGCGGATGACTTTCTGACACAGGCGACCATTACAGATGCAGGACTGCTGTTCCCCCCCTCTCAGATCGCCCTAACAGCCATTCTGAACAGCGCCTCCAGAGCCGGTCTCAGCATGGAGAGGTGGGTTGTTGGACTTGTTAATTTCATAACAATGGAACAATGCTAAGCTAACATGATGAGGTTTGTTTAGCAATTAAGGGAAAATGTTCTGCCAGAATGATAATGATTAAATGGTAAAACATTGTTTTGTTTGTTGTTCCAAATGCACAGCTACCTCAATGAGTGTTTGGGGATGAAAGAGGACAAGGAGACTCTCTCAAAGATGTATGAATCCATGAGACGTGAGTGAGCCGCACCTTCAATGCGACACCACAGGATGGTGATATTGAGCCACTATGGTACACAGGACATGTTTTAGCGGAGATTAATGTGAAGTTTATCTGTGTTCATTCAGGGATGAAAACCATCCTAAAGAAGTACGAACTTCCCAAACCAGAGGAGGTGAATACTTACAAAAAGAAGTTGGAGAGGATTCATGCTGAATTTGCCACTTCAAGCAAGTAAGTAGATGAAGTCAACTGCTCGTGTTGAGAGATTGCCAATACAGAGAGAATGATCTAATATCACACTATACCCTGCTACATTTTAAAAGTCAGAAAAGGTGATTTTATTGTAGAGTTTCAAAAATAAGTCTTTTTATATGGTCCTAATATTAACATTAGTGTAATTTGGGCACCTTTTTTTTAGTTTAGGGGTACTAAATAGGACTGTTTTGTAAACACCAATGTAATTTGTATTCCGCCACACCAAAGTAAACAACTCAAGTTTCTCATTGTCATACATAGTAACAGTTTTATTTTAGCCAGGTTGTCGTATCTAAGATGCAAAAGGTTCAAGGTTCAGTATCAGGTAGAAAAATAAAAAGGAACACATCATCAGCTGTATGAAATACAGAAAGGAAGTACAACAGCACGCCACATTCCTACCTACATCATCTATACCATGTAGCACATTTGATATTGGTATCGCTGATGAGGAGACTTTTAGGCTCAGTTATCTGTCGCCGGCTGTCTGTTAACACTTGGTGAGGTTGGTGAGGTCCGTGGTATCATTAAGTGCAACTACAGTAAACAGTTTGGTAAACTCTTTAGCTATGACAGGCACAGATTCAGACTCTGCAGCTGCGTGAATCATCAGGAGGCACACAAGTCCAACCCTCCATGACTTTGAAGTTGATAAATCTGTGCATGGCATGACTTCTCAGGATGAATCTATCGGTGCAGACAGAGGTGTACTGAAACGCCACCGGGGATGGCGGGAGAGCGAGAGAGAGAGAAAGACTGCAAATGCATGAAAGCTTTTGTTCACACCCCAAGGCTTAGCGGGAGTTCAGGTGATGTTTGTTAGAGCAGCATATATGTAGGCCCACACACTAAAGCAGGATCCCATCAGGGTTAGCACATGCACAGGACAGGATACAGAGATCTCCTACGAACGAACTCCTAGACTATTGTTCAGCTCTGTTCAGCTAGATCATACACAAACACCATTTACTTCTATACAAACCTAAGGATACAATATCAACAAACAAAGCAGCATATAAAAAAAATGTAACAAGTGGTTCCAGTGCTGCGTGGTAGCTCACACAAAGATGGTGGACGTTTATGAAGGAAGAGCTCGTCATAAAATCACGTGACACGGTGGGCAGATGGTGAGTAGAAAGGGAGTTAAGGCTTGTGTCGTCTTGGAGAGAGGTGCTGTGTTTAAATTCCCTGATGACGGCAGAAAACACTAGTTCAATGCTTTGGATTGCCTCCCCCCGTTTCCTCGAAGCTTCCCTCCAAAAAAAAAGGAGTGGCAGAGCAGGGTGCCACATTTGTCTGGTTTCCATGTCAACCAGTCAAACGGAGGGAGTGGCAGGCATACCAGGATAAAAGAAGTTCACACATTTTGCAGTTGACTGTATCTCAGGTCCATCTTCACAGAAATCATCTTTTCGAAAGGTCTCATGCGACAAGGCTTCTTGTCAAAATGTAAATCAGTTCAACACACTGTCGGTGTCTGAAGCATTTGGGAAGGGCTTTGGAAGGACAGTATTCAGATATGCAGCAAGTGTTTTCCCATGGAGAACAGCCATATTGCGTTAGAACTGCTAGGAATCTAGGCCACATGCTTTATAAATACAAACTGACTTAAGTCTTCGGTCGGGCACCTCATGGGACGAGGCCTGGCTTTGGCTGGCGGTGTGGTCTGACTACCACACTTTGATTCTCTGGTGGAAATCTGTAAAACTCACATTACCTGGATGGCAGCAGCCAGTGACATGATGGTGCACTCTGTCCTGTAAGATAAAGTGGACACGTTTGTGAAAGGCACAAGCTTGGAGAATCACTTGTGTGTAAAATGCTACCAGGCGTGTCTACTACTAGTCTAAATGAAGTTGAATTGAAAATGAAGAGACATTTGGAAACTACTTATGATGATCATGAAGCTATAGGGGAAACTACATGCTACATTATTCACCTAAATGGGTGTTGAACATGGATTTGAAGGGGTTGGTCACAAATGTAAGAAACCGAGTTCACCAACAATTACAGCTTGCAAAGATAACTTCTGATTTGACATATTTAAAACCGTAACCCTGCTTTCTGTTAAATGCTGCCTTATTTAACTGCTCTTATTAAAACTACCTTTGTATTGCAGCAAACGGAAGAGAGGATATGAAGAAGATGGCCATGTAACAAAAGAACCACGTTTAACGGAAGAGGTGAGAATGTTCTGCATTGAAGGGAGAATTCTGACATTGTAAATCTTCTAAAATTGCTTTTTTTTCCCATTGCAGATTATGAGTGACGAAGACATGTCATGAGCATTTACCCCAAAATGTCTTGATTTAAAGTTGTTATAGTAGTTCCAGTATTTAACTGTCAAGGTTGGAAGAACAAGCGAAAACACGACGAAGTTTGCATTAGTGTACATCTTATATTTACTTTTCTACAGTGTGTAGAAACTTGGGGTTGCCTTTGTTCTGCAGTAAGAATAAAGATATTTTTCTACATTGTGTGTCTTTGTTCGTAACCAATCCACATGATACTGCGTGCAAATGTTTCTCCACCTTTGTCAGGGGACAATGAATGACTCCATTATCTACTTTACAAAAACTGTTTAATAAGTGCATGCATGTCTGATACAGTCTGTACTATTCAAAAAAAATTACTGCTGTAAACACTTTTATTTTACTTGGCATCTCTGATTAGGTGTCTTGTCTGGCATTGAGAAGTGTCAATAAAGACTTTACCAAATAATCAAAAAGTAGCTGATACAATCGGAAGAAAAAAAATTCAGTTCATCTGTCTTATATACTCATGATTCCAGCAAGAGAATTTATTCTTAATATAAAATAACCATACTTTCTGAAAGACTTTGTTCCAATCTAGAAAATAAAGGAGAAAAAAAAAAGAACAAGACAGAAATGCTAGTTTCAGCACTTAGCGGATATTGTCACAACCTTAAAATAAATCAGTCAATTACAGTATAAAAAGCATAATCGCTCATAATCCAGTTACAAGAAAGGGGGACTGAGAGAACTAGCTTCTTCATGTCAGTTAGCTCATATCGAGCAGGAAGAGGGGGGACACACTTTGGCAACCTGTGCTGTGGGTACAACGAAACTCTGGAAATCTCTATTTGGCCCTCGTGATGAAGGGAATGAAATGTACCCAAGTCAGAATTTTGAACACAGTTTAAAAGTTTGATTCCCGTGGATGTAGCTGTCGGTCACTGGTGCAAGTTTTTTTTTATTTGAGTTTTTTTTTTTTTTTAAGTACTGCATCGGCTTTGTACTCCGCTGCTGTTGCATAGCTCTCTTGTGGTGAACGGGACAAGATGGTGGGTGGGGATGGGCGGGACTATTGGAGGAGGACATGATGGAGGGGTTGCCATGGTGATGAGGGTAGAGCATGCTAGGTCTCTGCGCTGCAGTCCGGTGGAGGAGACTTGATGGGGAGATGGAGGAGAGAGGAGTGCTGTACTACCTGTTGCTGTTGGACATGGCATACTGAGCCTGCTTCTGCTGGAGGAGCTCTGTGATGGCCAGCAGCTTTTTCAACACATGCTGCAGAGAGAGAGGAAGCAGGAGTTAAGATACATCTTTCTGAAACATGGCTGCCGAGTTATCCTGTGTGAATCTCATCAATCTGACCTGCTGTGCTCCCCTCTCGTTGCTCAGTGTTCGCAGCTCGTCTGAGTGTGTGACACACAACTCATGCAGCGCAGCCAGGTCCCGGGACAGGTCCCTGGACAGCTCCGTCCTAAAGTGCTCTGTGGCTTCAGGGAGGTCAGGGACGTTCTACAAATACAATGGAAAAAGTTCTAGGCTTGTGAAGTAAAGTTGTGAGTCAGGGCTCTCAAGAAGAATATCAGATTTGGGATTATTTAAATCACAAAGCTCACCCCCAACTCATCCAGAAACATGATCATCCTGTGTTTGTTGTTTTTGATGAAAGGGTTCACACCCTCCATATAGGGTTCCTGTTTGAGGATAATCAGAACGAGTCAATTATAACTTACATCAGACATAAAAAAACACCATTTGATATAACTGTTAGATGTATAGCTACTGCCTTAAATATAGATGTATACTGCATGCTGTTGTTTTAAGTACATAATCCACACCTTAGCACCAAATTCAACCAGGTTGGCCAGGTTCTGAACAGACTTAGCTATCAGTGTGAGGGTCCTGCCTGCTGCTGAGGATGGAGGGTCTGCAAGAAGAGAAGGTAGTATATAACACACATTGTAACATGTGGTACAACAAGCAGAGGGTTACATGTGCTTGTAGGCTGATGCTCACCAGAAATGATGTTAAACAGTCTGGGGTTGAGGATGGCCGGACAGATCAGTCTTAGAAAGACAAAGCCACTGGGAGGAGAACGGAGGAAATAAAATAGACTGAATAAGATCAAGCACTAAATAACATGCATACATTTAAAGTCGTCAGCAAACACTGATGAAAGATACATTCAAAGCTTTTAACTCTCAAACGAAGTGGGTCCAACATTGAGCATTCGTGTTTCCTTACCTTACAACTCTCGTCCGCATGGTGGTGTTTGCGGGCCATTTCTGCTGCACAGACTTCTGCAGACAGCCGTAGATGAACCTCAAAGTCCTGGACGGGTCATCACAGAGAGACAATTACTTATTATATGTGTTCATTAGATATTTGACCTTGTATTTCTGTTTGAACACCGCCAACACACGACACCACTGTGTGAGTATATGACGGTTTGTTCTTACGGTGGTAAGATCTCAGCAGCCATGAAGATCTTCTCCACCAGCTCCGACAGGATGTTCAGCAGATGAGACAGGTTCAGGTTCACATCCTCGTTCTTTTCCAGTTTGGAGGGGTTCAGCTAAAAAGCAAAGACAGGGAGACAGAAACGGATTCATTAGGATAAATACATTCAAATTCACAATGCATGATTGTAAACCATGAGATAAGATACAATTCATGTTATTCAACAGTGACAACAGCATCTCTTGTTGCATGTAATGTTGATTAAAAAAATGTTGTCAGCCACTAGTAAATACATTTGTGATATTTCTTATTTGTTTAATACAAGAGAACAAAAATGGTCCATGCACTGACTAGACTTTTGTTTCAATGTGAACTCAATAAGAACTCACATACCAGCCTTGAGACCTCAGCCATGTTGATGTTGTGTCACTGTTTTGTTTATCTACTGTACATCGCATTCTTGCAGAGCCACTACACTGATATGATATAAAAACAATGTCATGAACCCAATGCCACAGATAAGAGCAGGGGGAAATAGCCTACAACTTGTGTTGCTGTGTTGAGGAAAGAAACCCCCTTATCAGGTCTGTACCTCGCAGGACTGCTTGCTCTCCATAATCTTGAGGATGGTGTCTTTGAGAGCGTGGTGAACAAATGGTGTGGCTGTGGCCTTCATGTACTGCTCCATCAGCGTGCTGGCAAGGGTGGTCGCTCTGAACAATGTTGTGGCTTCGTCTGGAAGAAGTGCACAAGGTCATACCAGTGTATGAATACATGTCTGTACATATGAAGCAAAACAATGAAGACGAACCCTGGGAAACACTCCACTCTGAAGCCTTTTCAAACAGAAGTATTGCATATTCAAGTACTGATTAGATACAGGATGCAACATGTGTTTTTTTCTTACCCTCCATGCTGATCTCCCTGTCATTGAGGGTCCTGAGTAGAGGGGCTTCAGCCTTCTCATGTCTGAAGATCCGCAGAAGGAGGCTTGCTAATAAGGTGCGGTCCTGACCACACACATGGGCCAGAGCGTAGATGACGTGGAACTCTTTCTGCAAGATCATCTGCAGAGGACAATGATTTGGTTGTCATTTGGAGTGACTAACAGAGCAGCAGACATTAAATGGACAATTAGAACCGTTTACCGACCTCTTTAAACTCTGCATACTCCTCTTCAGGCATGATCTTCTCCATGGAGTAGCGGGCACGCACCCGCAGAGAGCCAGGCTCGATGCCCTTCAGAGGCACGTGGGAGCTGAGGGGGAACCACTCATCGATCATCTGGCCCTTCTGCAGGCGGTTCAGCTGGCAGCGCATGAACACTGAGCGGGAGAGAGAGAGAGAGGGAGGCGTGAAGAGGAGGGGGTGATGTCAGTTGTGATATAAAACATGAGGAGACTAAGAGAGATCACATTGGTTTTTTTTTTATGTACTTACAGATGTCACTTTCTTTGCTCTTTTTTGTTTTGTTGCTCAGGCTGATTTCAAATCGGTTGATTTCACTCGACAAGTCACTGAAACAAAAAGATACATATATTTTAGAAATCTGTAGTCGAGAAGATATGATTCATTCGGAGCAAGTTTGACAAGACTCACTCAAAGATGAACTCCTCGGTGAAGACGGGGTTCTGCCCCTCCCTCGGGTGTGTTTTAGCCACTTGGACGCTGTTCAGGTAGATGTTACAGTACGGGCTGTTGAAATACTTCACTGGCAGCTTGTGGGCCTCCTCCACATACAGCACCAGGCTGCTCACCTGAGAGGGAAACCACATTTAGCACACAAAACATACAAATACGGGTGAAATGAGTCGAGCTAAGTGTGGGAATGAACCAGTATCACAATTGACTTTCCTTATAACAACTTGCTCAATGTGTTACAAGCCAGATATGGTCAACCAGTTGCTTTTTACTAAATGCAATAAGTTGTTTCAGATATTCAAATCTGGGCCTTTTCAACTTTACGGTATTTCTGATCATGTAGACGCTCTGTCATACTTATACTTAATTTAGAATACCTTCCGACTGGCTTGTTGTATTTGATCATCTACCTCTTCACTTTATGCATATGAGAACACATTGATGTAATATGTACCTGTCTAAGCCTCTTGTTGGTGGTCGGCTGAGTGGTTTTCCTCAAGTTACTGCAGAAAGTTTGAAGGCATTTCATCCAATCCTGCAAACACAGAACACCGTCAGAATTTGAAAACAAAGTGATCATAAGCTCTGTCTCCTTAAGCACTCACAACCTTATAAACTGTTGACAGTTTGTACTCGTTCGTTTGATGAGAAATAAAACAACAGGTTCTCTTTCACACATATAGGTCTTTATTACAACTGAACATCACTGTCCAGTGGCCTCCTGTATCTGAGAAAGCAGCAGTTTGTGCAGAACATTTCTTTTGTGTCTTTTTTAACCCACCATTTGGACAAAAATACCCTGTTAATTGAGACAGTTATCGATGTTAGCGCAGTGCTCCTTACCTGTGCCTGCTCTGGAACATCTCCCGCAAAGTAGAATATGTACTGTTCTTCACTAAAGTGCTGGACAACAATCTGGAAACAGTGTGGCCTGTAGGTGGAATAGAAGAGAATATATTAAATTACTTTGTACTGTATGTTGCTTCATTTTTAAGAAATAGCTTGCCAAAGTCACTGAATTAGACCAAGCTCAATATTCTGACACCTCACCTGCCAAACAGACTGTCATGCACACCGTACACGGAGCACACGCTCAGGTCGATCAGCCCTTTTGGTTTGGTCGCTCTCTTCTCGCTCTCAAAGTAGATGAGCTGAGCATCGTTCCCCTCCAGGATGAAGTAAAGGTTCTTCCATCGTTTGCCTTTGCCTGAAGGTGAGAGGAACCAAATATACGTTTATTATAATGGTAGATCCTGAATGACATGACCACAAGAGACAGAGTAATGTTTTTGATGATATGACAAGCAGCTACTGATGGGCTATACAACACAGATGTTACAAATACCTTTGTTGAACTGGAGGTAGCCTTTCTTGACAATGTTTTTGTAGAAAGCATCTTTTGTTTTCCGTCTGATAGTGTTATAAATCTCTCTCCCATCCACTGTGTCAGAAAGAACTTGTTCTTGGTTCTACAGTCAAAACGAAAACAAATCAAGCCATCACACAACCATCATATCAATTCCCTTCCAATCTTACCTTGCTTTAACTTCTTTAAGTGCTATAAAATGAACATGAAAATGTTTGATGCAATATGTTCTTCAGAATATACATTTACAGTTCAGTGGTGTTCAACTATTACTCTTTGCCCACACCAGAGTCCTGCATGGGTCTGATTTTCAAGACCCGCTCCCACCCCACACCCGCGACGTGCAATACCGAACCCGCCCCGCCACCCGCACATATTGCTAATTAGTTCCGCAAACCGACCCGACCCGTCGTCACAAGATCCGCAAACCGACCCGAACCCGCATATCCTATATGAGCAGTGAAAATGTGCAATTATTAACACACGCAGTTGCATATTTGCCCAAAAAGCGTGGGATGTTGGTTATTTTCTCCATCTAGGAGGACACCAAAAGCCTCCCAGACATTGGATTTCGCTCTTGAGGAAGTGTTATTGAAAATGCTGTATTCTCCGAGCTCCGCCTTCACCTCAGCCATTTCGAATGTGGCGTGCTCAGCAGCAGATTGATGCGCTGCAGAGGTTATGATTATGCCCGCGGGTACCCGACCCGATGCAGGACTCTGGCCCACACTGGTCTCTGCTGAGATCAATATTTGGATACTTTGGATGGCAGAAAAGGTAGGAGCATTTAAGAGCACATGACACCGCTAAATTGTCAAATGTATCCCCATTAAGAATACATATCATTTGTATCTTTGAACGTACCTGCACTGAAACGGGCTCTTTCAGGTTGTAGCCCTCGACAATCTGCTCTTTCTTGTAATGCTCGATAATGTCACCAACACTGCCAATGGGAGAGCGACAGAATACATGATGCAGCACATCAGTAACAAGTCAAAATGCAACCGTCAGCATATCATGTTATTCTGTTGTAAAGGCCGCTGGAGGCAGGCACAATGCGGGACGTACCTGTTGTAGTACCTCCCCCCCATCATGTACTGATTGTTGGGGGTGGGGGAGATCTTAAACCTTTGGATGTTTTCATTGGTGCGAAAAAAGAGCGAGTAGTCCCCAGGTGTGTTGTCTGACGGTCGGACCAGAAAACTGCACACCTGGCCAACTATGAAATGAGAGGGGAGAGGGGAGGGGGGGGGGGGGATCAGAGCGAGGGAGAAAGGTTTTTACTGCTGCTCAGCTAAATATTTAGATAAATGGACTTTGACGTTCACAACTCTTTTCTGACAAATAGAATACACAATATTGTCACAAGTGATTAACAATGTTTGGTAATGAAAGGCACAGAGGAATGATACCTGTCATCAGCAGGTTGTAGGCCTCTTGCTTGGTGATCTTTCCGTGATACCATCTGTTTGAGAGATACAATAACATTCAAAATGTAGTTTAGTCAACAAAATGCAGACTTCCAGTAGAGGCTATTGCATCAACACCATCTCTAAACACAAATCTTAAAATACTGACATCACTGTTGGGGGATTTCATCTAAGTAAAACGACTATCTGATGTTCACTTCATTCATTTGAATGAAATAATGAATTAGGCTCTCCAAACATACGCGTTCCCATTTATGTCCCATCTATTGTCCAAAGGGTTAAAAGAAGGAAACGCTTAGATGTGGCCAGACTTGAATCTAGAGCTCCTATCCTCTCTCAGGGTTGAATCAATAACTCTGTCAAACTTTAAGACTTGCCAAAGCTGAAGGACATGGTCGGTTAGGAAACAATAAGAACTTGCTGTGAATAATGTGCCGTTATGCTATTCTTAATGACAAAACAAAAATATGTTGGGAGAATACAGGCAAACAACAAGGCTGATCTCACATGGTGGATATTATCCTGTAATGATATGTTATTTAAAAGTATAAATATAGCAAAACACATTGCTGTTCTGCTATCAGATATAAAGCAGAGAAAAGTGAAATCAGAGTATAATAACTTACGCTTTTCCCTCATGTGGATCCTCCTCCCGGCCCTAGAAGAATATCAGAAACAGACATTTGTCATGAAACAAAATCAAAAGGACTAATAACTTTATTGTTTGTGACGACTATGGACTGTTATTTTGTATACTCGTATAACATAGCACTACCATGGGTGCTCTGCTAATGGCACTCTGGTATGATCAATTGTGACCTCACATTGGTTTCTTTTGAAGCACTGAGTTTAATTTACAATACATTTGAAACCTTGTGCTGTACTTACCACCTCTTCCACCAGATCCTCCACGATGAGGCCCTGCTCCTCTGTGCGAACATTGGTCACCCACATCCAGCCATCATCCAGTTCATTGTGAACAATAAACATGTCCCCTTTCAGGAAGCTGAAGATATCATTGAATCAAAATGGCCATTAAGACAAAAGGATAACATGATGACAGATTGTAGGAAAAAAGGAAAAATAAAGAGTAGTGAAACACACTGTAAAATCTGCTATCGATCGGTTGTTAAACTATAACCTCAATTCATCTCAAAGCATTGTTATCTGTATAATGTGAGAGAAAGAAACTGCAAGTCGAGTTATTTAGTTTCCAGTGTAATACCAGAGCATTACCAGCAGGTGTCTCCTCAGACTTATAACATTTGAGGTAAATATTGCATGTCTGAATACTGGGTTAAGCCAGTGGCCTCGCTGGCAGACAGAGGGTTGAGGTTGACTTCAGACAGATGTTGATCACATTTAGGAAATCAGGGATAGCTGGGGTCATCAGTAAGTGTGCCTACTGTAGCTTAATAACAGGGACAAGACTGGCTTTCTTTAACAAGTCAGATGATGTGCTTTCCAGGCTGCTGTGAGGGGACGAGCAGGCCTGTGACATGCCAATACAATAAGTGAACTAGGCTGCTCTTTGAGAGCAATACAATCAAATTATATATTTTTAAGCCCATGAAATCCCCAAGGCTGTCTGTGTCTCAGACATGGATCATGTTTATGAGAGTACTTTTACGTAAGAGAAGAGAAAACGTTGTACTACTATAGGTTTAACAATAGGTCTCTTATGTACAGTTACATAGTCACAAAGATAATTACCTGATCTCATCAGTATCTGGCACTTTGGTGTAAGGAAGTATGGCCCTGACTCTCCTCCTGTCTTCTACAGGCTGTGGAAACATGCACACAAAGAATACAACTCTCACTCTAACCATGACCTTCTGAAACCACATCCATGTTAAACCCCGTAATTATTCCACAAATTCAAGTATTCTACTACAACCCCCTCAGGGAGATATCACACTCCACTGAAAAAGGTAATTAGCATGAGCTTGTGCTTTGCTTTAAACACTTCCGATACTGCCTGAAGGTAAAAGAAGAAGGGGATATGGAAGATGGGAAAATAATCCCTTGCACATTGAGCTGGCTGAATAAAGGACTTGAGGTTGACTTTACTTTAACTAAAATGGTAATTTTTCCCACTCATCTTTCAACTCTGAAATATTTTATCAGCAGCTTTTGGCATTTACATTTCAATTTAGTTTTGGTAGGTCTCTTAAAAAAGTTATTTCATATGCCATTTAACAATACACAAGACACTAACACGCTTAATCTTATAGTACTTAAAACAGGGTGTATTGCAATATTTCATTTAAAAAACAGCTACATTGAGAAAAAAGAGCAAAAATCTAGTTATGTCATGTCAAACAAGTATTGAAAATATGTATAAATATTGTAGGGGAATGGAGGAACATTTTAAAACATGCCAGAATTAATTAAATGTAGTATTTTTAATTATTGAATACGCCCAGCCATGGAGTCAGTCTCACCTCTGGGGGCGCCACTGGTGATAGCAGTTTCTCTCCTTTTAGCAGGCAAGACACATAGCTGTAGTAACCAATCAGGTCTGAGAGAGAAGAGAACCGCCGCCCACCAATGTAATAGTCCCCACACATGGCAATTATCCTGTTGAGAGAAAACACATCAAAGATAAAAGACAGCGGTTATTTAATCACCGAGCAGCGAGGGAAATATAAAATGTTCAACTTGTATTTATTTGACGGTGAAATAATCTCTCTTGACTGCTGTGTCAAAATTGTTTTTCATTATTGTTCCTACACTGCATATACAACATAGCACATCAAAGATATAACAGCAACTGTGCCACAATCATTAAACGTCCGAAAATAGATAGTATATGTCTAAAGAGGATTTCAGACAGTGAGATAACAGAGAGCGATAGAGGCTTTCCCGTTTAATCCAACAATGCTATTTGTCATTTGTGACTGAAAATAACTTCAGTGAATGATTACAATGGTTTCATGAAAGTACTCCTCTAAACCACATCCTGTTGCAGAGCCACTAATCCTAATTCTCTGCTCATCAGTTGAGTGGATCTCTGATTGAGGGTTTATAATAAATGCACTTGTGCGATTACTCATTTGCTGCTTCTAAAGACATCGACCTTTTGCAGTGTAGATGTCACGCAATTAACCTTATGTTCATGATTCCCCTTACAATAGCGCTCCCTCATTCATCCTCAATGACATCATGGGTTAACACTAAACCAATGAGAGTGAAGGAGATGGTGTCATTGTTAGTTCATTAGAGAAGTGCTTTTTTTTTGGAGAAATTGTCGGAGATTTCTCAAAAGCACAAACAGTCTTTAAAGAGTGCTACCATAAAGAACACAAGCTTTAGAAATAAAATAACCTTCATATTCTATATAAACATGCATTTACACAATGAAGGGCGGTATGTTTGAAAAAAAGATATTTCAATGTCCAAAATTGAAACAATGGCCTGGACAGCTATGGGCTAATAGATTAGCTTCTATCACACGCCTGCATTATGTCCCCAAGCGCTTACAGTTAGTATGAAATACACACATTGGAAACCTGTAAATGCAAAATGTGTTTCTCTGCTTATTGAAACGTACACGTTTATCACATTCAGGTCCTAGCCACACGGAAACGAAAACAAACCGAATTCGATATCAAAAAAGTCTTCCATCCACACGCAATAGGCACCAGAAACGTGTCCTTCCACACGAGACCGCTTGACCCGCCGGTCAACATGTCCGTTAAAGTTTAAATCTTCCGGACAAAATTATAAAAGTGCCGGTCAAAGGTCTTCTTTGTTTAAAACAAATGAATAACGACTCTATATGATCAAATCAAATCGAGTTTTATTTATATAGCACATTTAAAAGCGATTTTTGGTCGAGCCAAAGTGCTGTACATGTAATAAAAACACATTACTACAATCACCGTAAAAGACAATAATTTACAACAGAAATATAAAAAACAAAAACACAGGGAATAGTCAGGTGTCATGCTCCGCTCTGACTAGAAGGCCAGAGAGAAGAAGTGTGTCTTTAGTGAGGATTTAAAAACCCCTAGTGTCTGGGCCGACTTATATATATGATAATATAAGAATAATACACGGAGTCTCTCTTTTCCTCCCCCTCTCCTGACAGCCCGTCACTATTTTCGTTATCAGGAAATGATCGTATAGGGCGTAGACACGGAGCCGTTTGGCCCCCCAGAGTGTTGCGTCCGCAGATCTACCCACCTTGGGACCCGTTATCGTTATCCGCGTTTCCCTGTCGGCCCTGTGTGGCCGAACCGTCTATAAGATAGAGAACTGTAGCGGATACGACCCGTTTCGTCACCGTGTGGCTAGGGAAATAATCTACAAGGAAGCCAGAGGTAGAGGTTGCCAGATTGTTCGCCCTTTGTGTGTTTTCAGCTGCAGGGTGAATGTATTCTCACACTGACTTAAACATATCACTTGAAGAAGAGGACGGATTGTAATGTGTAATCTGATTTGTTTTATTGACTATAAAACTGTTGAATAGCGTAGGATATTGTTGCTAGACAAGTCTGCCGTCTTCATTCTTTTACTTCATGTCCACCCACGCACAAAATTCTTCCGCATAACACACACAAGCAAACGGAGTCATGGGTTTACGCAGACCAAGTTGATATGCAATATAAAAACATCTGTATGAAATGACAGTGATAAAATAGGCTGATGTGGTCAACAATGGCATGAAACCACTTTCCAAGCCTCAACATTCTCACTTCAGTATCGGCTCATCTTTGAGGTTGATCTATGGGCTCAGAACAGTCTCATAATACACACATGCACACATAAGGATTCACACTTGTATTTCATGATCCGCAAAAGGATTCACACTTGTATTTCATGATCCACACTTGTGTTTTTCAATGCACACACAAATGTGTTCCGTTTCATATACATGTAAATAAAATCAAAATACAGAAAAAAGTTTTACATATGTATTTTTTCCGTTTAAAACCGCTGCACCTACAAACACAAACCGCTTTCTGTGCATGGATCGCTGTGCATTCGTGTGTGGGTTTTTTGAGACTCCCCTGACGGTCACCCGATTCGTACTTGTAATTTTTTCTATCTATAGCCAATCAGATGTCTCCTCAATTCTAAGCCAATCACATGAGCGCGCCCCCACAAGGGTAGATTTCTTGCGTTCATGACGTAGCGCTTCATGTACACATTTTGCGCTGTCCGGAGCTGACAGGTCCATGGAGCCTGCCTGAATCTCAGGACACTTCCACTCTCAGTACATTGCCAGTTTCCGAGCAGGAAATGCACGCAAATACAAGCCTTTATATTATTAAGGTACAGTGCCACTTTCCGAACCATTAATGAATGCTTGTGTACACAAAAACGGCAGGCAAAACCGTTTTAAATGTGTGTTTCCTGTATGGCGAATACAGCTGCTTTATTTATGTCTGTATGAAGTTGTTGTGAGTGTGGACGGAGCAGCTTCAGGTTAGCTTAGCCTAATCGATCAGTGCACTACGAAGCCAGTGCTAGACAGTGAGCTGTCAACGGGGGGGAGCCCCGCCGGTCATTATCGGCCGATATTCACTCTTAATAGTTTGATCGGTGCTCTCTATAAAGGCCGATCATGAGAGCTGGATCTGATCGATATGGACATAAAAGCGAGTGAAGTTTTCGCGAGCTGCATGAGAAACTGACGGGCTGTCAGGAGAGAGGGAGGGAGAGAGGAAAAAAGAGATGATCCTTACTCCCGTGTTATTAGCCATATCCGGTCATAGTCCGGTAATTACCTGCTAACGGAAACTCTGCTACACAATTCTTCTTCTTCTTATTATTATTATTATTGAAACATGACCGGTAAGTTTCAAATTTGTCCGGTAAAATAAATTCTGTCCGCGGAAACCCTGCTCCGGACAGCGCAAAATGCGTATATGAAGTGTCATGAAGTGAACGCAATAAATCATACCCTCGTGGGGACGCGCTCATGTGATTGGCTTAGAATGAAGGAGACATCTGATTGGCTATATATAGAAAAAATTACAAGTACGAATCGGGTGACCGTCAGGGGAGTCTCAAAAAACCCACACACGAATGCACAGCGATCCATGCACAGAAAGCGGTTTGTGTTTGTAGGTGCAGGGGATTTAAATGGAAAAAAAATATGTGAGGATCAAAAATACATATGTAAAACTTTTTTCTGTATTTGGATTTTATTTACATGTATATGAAACGGAACACATTTGTGTGTGCATTGAAAAACACAAGTGTGGATCCGGAAACACAAGTGTGAATCCTTTTGCGGATCATGAAACACAAGTGTGAATCCTTTGGCGGATCATGAAATACAAGTGTGAATCCTTCTGTGTGCATGTGTGTATTATGAGACTGTTCTGAGCCCATATTGATCTCTCACTGCAGTGTCTGAGGCTTTCTGCCCTATACTATAGGTTAGCAGGTAATACACAACTTCTGTAGTCCTCCTTATCCACTACTTGAGGGAGGCATACTGCCTGAGCTTTGTGAGATGCACTATTATATAGTATAGTAGTATAGTAGATACTATATAACGTTGTAATCAATTGTGTTGGCCAAGTCAGGTCAGGTTACATCTCTGGAGAAAAACTTCCACCATGCTAAATTATTTGCAACCACCACCTGAATGTGTAAATGGAAAAAAGATGCTTGTATTTTACTTACTCTGTAAAGACTGCGTAATTCTTAATTTTGTCTGATGTTTGACAATCCATCCCCAGTTATTTTTTGTTTTCTCTTTTCCTCCTTTCGGTAGTTTCTTTTTTTGGTAGTGGGTTACCCTTGGCCTTTTTGTTTATGTCTACGATGCTGTCGACTGGCAGCTTTAGACTATTCTCAGGAATTTTTTTTTCTCTTGTACGCCATGTCAAGGTTTCGGGTACCTACTTACTGTATATTGTGTATGTCTTTGCTTTATTTGTAATTCAAAATAAAGTATAAAAAAAATATATTTTGGTTTGCAGTAAATAAAAGTAGGAATTGATATAAAAAACACACACTTTAAGCGTTGTGTAGGCCAAGTCAGATCAGGTTACATCTGTTGAAAAAAAACTTCCACCATGCTAAATTATTTGCAACCACCACCTGAATGTGTAAATGAAAAAAAAAGACACTTCTCCCTAAAGGCCCGGACACACCAAGCTGACACCAAAGAACTGACACAGACGGACCCCGACTGTTGCGTCTCTGCGTTTTGGCCATGTGTCGCACTGGGACACACCGCAAAGACTTCAGCCGACGGCCAAGAAGCACGTACGAACTGCGCATGCGTGAGTGGTAATAACTCTCCTTACCAGCAGGCGTCGGTAGAGTGTATTCGTCATTCAAAAGAGGCAACAACCGGAAGACAGACTGCGTGATAACCGAGAGAAGAAGAACAGACTGCGTGATATAAACAAACAATAAATAGCATGTGCGTTCCATTTTCACTCTACAGCGAGAAGCTCAAGGGGCTTTCCCGAACCTGTGTCGAGAGCTGGAGTTAAATGAAATCTCAGATTTGCCTTCTTAATAGTTTGTTTGGGTCCCTCACTTCCGTTTCGCTTCTCATGCACTGATTCGCTAGCTGAACAGCCAATCAGAGTGATTTCCTTTGCCGACTGCCCGCCGAGTCATTTTCGGCCGAAAAGGCATCGGCACGGCTGAAAAGACACGACGGTGCGGGACACACCAATCTGAGTAGGGCGTGTCGACGCTCATCGTCGGCCTGACGCCCACCGATGGCCAAAATCGGCTTGGTGTGTCCGGGCCTTAAGGCTTTTAAGAAAGCTCTCGCTGCAGATTCACACAGTGCTGCCTTACCTGAAATGGTTGACCACGTTGGTCACGCTGAGGAACGACAGGACGAAGGAACCGGGCCGGCGGTCGCTCTCCCTGATGAGGTAGCTGCCGGGGCTCCGGGCCTGGCGCAGCCGCTCCTCAGCGATGTTTCGGTCTAGCTTGCCATGGTACCACCTGAGACAGAGCAGAAGGAAAGAATTAGAGGAGGGGCGACAAACAATATAGATCAAACATCTTTCTAAAGATATAGAACCACGTAATTATTTTCCACAGAAGTATTTTCAGAAATAACCAAACATGTAATTGTATAAGAGAGCAATCACAAAACAATACATTAACAAACATGGATCTTCAACCAGTTGTTTTTTCGTTCTTCTTAATATATTTCTTCTCTAATCATATACGCATATTTTTGAATCCTTATTTTCAGAAAAGATTTTGCAAGGCAGTAAGTCAAAAAGTCAATGATCAATCCAACACATTGATAGATGGAAAATAAAATAAATATTAGACATGAATCTCTCATGTAGGCCTGTTCTTAAAAAAATGGATATCCAAAAGCTTTTATTTTTGAGTTTCTAGCACACCATTAAATCGTTCTACTTCCTGAATTAAACAGAAGCCACAGGAACAACACTGGTTAACATTTTAGCAGGTGAACCTAACTGGGCCCGGCCAGCTGGGGTACAAAATTAACACGCTTTTTCCAAATTTAGGCCACTGGTGCCTCTCGAAGCGGAAGGCAGCTACTGAAAAAACATCCAGCGTTAAAGAAGATGAATGAGGCGCTGCAGTCGCTCTCACCACAGGAGACCTTAAGATCTCCCATCTGGTTCTAGAGGTCTCTACTTGTAAAAAAAAAAAAAAAAAAAAAAAATGTGGTGAAGTCTGCTATCATGGAGCGAGCTGGAGAAGGATTGCCAAAGAGGAGGGGAGAGTTAAGGGTCCATGAGGGGGCTTAGGGGGGATTTGGGTGATAAGAGAAGTGAAGAGGGCGAATGAGGGCAGTTGGAGAGTCGGCCCTAGCACACTGTAAAGGACTGGGAAAATACACAATTACATATGACCCAGAAAACCATGTGTAATGTGACATTAAAAGCACTAAAAACTAGATATTTGGGATAACAACTCCTACTGGCTCTAATCCTCAACCACAAACCAAGGAAGGCTCAAACCACTACGTCTACAAAAACCTTTTTCAGTCAGAACTAGCCACAACACAACATTAAACACATGTGAAAAACTGTTTCCGTTTTCCATTGCTTTGTGCCATTCGAAACAACTAACCCGAGTGAGCAGCTAGTGTCGGCCGTGTTGTATCCTTTATATGCAATAAATTGTTTCACTAAACAATTATTTGTTTATATCATTATTGTGATAAATGACAGTATAAAAAACACACCATGTGCCCTACGAGGCAAATACGCAGATCTGAACTCTGCACCAACCAGACAACACGACAGCTGCTGCTGCACATAAATGACTCAATATAGTGGGTAATAGGTATCTTTGTCGTGCATGTACCAAAATTACAGGGCAAGAACAACTTTCCAAACGTTTTCTTTGTGCAAACAGGCACCTATTACCAACCAAAAACACCAACACATGTAAGGGAAACACTGGTTTGTACACAAATGAGCCAAATTCTGAAAAAAGGCTCATTCTACTGTTCTGACATAAAAATACTTGAAACTTCTTCTGTTTCAGTCATGCACTTTATGATGGAAGTTATGCTAATGCAGCAAATGTTGATTCAAACTGATAAAGTCCCTGCGGAGGGGCAGCCTGCTGCCAGACAGCCTGCTGCTGTGGGCTCGGCTGTGGAACATACGTCAAACAACGGCATCAGCTCCCTATTTTGGGCTGTAAAGGTACAGACAAAACCCTTATTAAAACAATAACGTGTGCCGTTCACCATCACACAGGAAGAGCTATCCACCACACATATTGTAAGTCAAACCAAGTGTGTTAACTTAAAGGAAACCTATCATGCTATATTTAAATGATATATTGTAGGGCCATACCTATATAAGGTATATTTATACGTTTCTGTTTTCAAAATACCAAACAGATCATGCATTTTAGCCATGCCTCATTTCGCTCTATGTGCTGTTTGCTGTCTACGGGTCTGATTCTGCTGACCACGCCCCCCTGCAGGAGAGGGGAGACGTGCTCTGATCAGCTGCTGGGCTGTCAGAAGAGGGGGAGAAAAAGAGATCTCCGTCCTCCGTGTTTTATTATATAGAGTCGTTATTCATTTGTTTTAAAGCTCAATAAATAACAAAGAAGACATTTGACCGGCACTTTTCTAATTTTGTCCGGAAGATTTAAACTTTAACGGACATCTTGACCGGCGAAACAAACTGAAACTGAAACTCTGCCGCACGGTCCCCTCGTTCCTTGGAAGAGGCGGAGAGGTGGGTGTTTGTCATCTGCTATTAACCGGAGAGAATTACAGTGCTTGCCTCGACGGGGAGGGATTGCATTGCAGCGGGAGCAAACGCTTGCCTCGGGGAGGGAGAAAGAAAGCCACAGCGGAGAATAAACAGAAGGGTAACCATGGTAACCAAGTCTTCTTCGCGGCTTTTGTGGCAGACTACAGCGCCACTTACAGGCCTGGCATATGTACTACAGCGTCTCCAGCGCTTTCGAACGGCAATGGCCGTGGCTGTCTCCTCCTGATTGGTGGAGTTGGCCCAATAGCCGTAGTGCCACCGTCCTGACGTTGGCATAGTGTTCAAATCTGGATCAGTTTTTATCAGATCCGTTGCAGCCCCTTTTTTAGAGATTTGGGTATGGAGGAAAATAGAGAGGGTTGTGTTTTCTGACACTTGGTGAGTTCCCTGGAACACCGGGGACACATATTCATGTATAAAAGACGTACAAAAGTGCATTTTGCATGATAGGTCCCCTTTAAGTACAGGAAGGTTTAAAGTGCAAGACTGGAAGAAACACAACAGCTAAGGCAGAGGTGTGAAATATCTTAGACCATTGTTTTGCGTCAACACATTTTAGTACTTTGTGCATTTACATTTTTAGCTGTGAATGTGATTTCCACCAAAAATGCATAATGATAAGTCATGATCATCTGCCTTTGCTCTGTCATCAAGATAAGTGAAAAGGGTAAAGAAATTAGAAAATCCCTTTAGACGTCATTCTACAAAAGAAAGCACAGCAGCAGACCTAGCAGGACTAGGGTTGCAAAGAGGCGGAACATTTCCGGTAAGTTTCCGGTAAATGTCCATGAGAAGTTAAGCTGGGGAATTTTGGAAATATTCCATATTGTAAACTTTCCATGGGAATTATGGGAATTGATGGGAACTAACTGGGAATTGAGGGTAATGTAATCGAATTGTATCATATCCAAGCATAAATATAAACATTTAGTTTTGTCATAAGAAAACATCCATGCAAAATGATACAATTAAAAAAACATGACATTTCAACAGATTTATTTGTAAGTAGAACAGAACGAGTTTTAATTATTTTATTGAACAATCATTTGTTTCATTGAAGAACAAAAACATGAATGTTGAGTTAAATATTACTCATCCCCCCAACCCCACTCATTCAAAAATGAACAAAAATGCACCCCCCATCCAAAGATCCCCACAATAAATCATCTGTGCATGTGATGGAGGAATGCACAGTGCCTGTAGGGGGTGTGGTCTCAATAGCCATGCAGTAAGCAGTGTGCTATGTGCATGTGATGGAGGAATGCACAGTGCCTGTAGGGGGTGTGGTCTCAATAGCCATGCAGTAAGCAGTGTGCTATGTGCATGTGATTGAGGAATGGCATGGATATTCAAGTGTTCTTGAATGGCATCTGTTTGTTTTAGTCAAGATTATGCTAATATACTTTCCCCAACTATATTTAAGTTCCCTATGAAGAGCCAACCTTCAATTTAGAAAATTCCCCGTTAATTCCCATAAATTCCAGTTTATTCCCATGGAAAGTTTCCATCTTTGAAAATTCCCGGAATTTTGCAACCCTAAGCAGGACTAAAGCCAGGTGTACCAAAAGATATCAATGTATAGTTTTACAACCAGCATCTATAAATGCATTGATACCGTTGTTATAACCTGCTGTTTAAGTTTATCTCTCTTTTATCTCTAAATGGTTCAAAGATCTGAAATGTTAAAGTACATGTGTAACCCTTCCCTGAATGTTGCCTTTGATATATGGCTGAGGGGTAATAAAGTGATTAGTTATCAGAATGTGATATTGCAGACTGCTGAGCAATGCAGGGACTATTCAAGCAGAAGTCTTTCATTTTTATTGCTTTGCCACCATAGAAATTCAGAGCGACTTCTTTATGTGGATGAAAAATGATATTGTTTTGCATAATGCCTTGAAGCCAGGAGTCATTACAAAACAGTGCTTTGTTCCAGTGCAGGGTTTCAAGAGAGCTTCCCTGTTGGGGTTTTGCAGAGCTTAGCAACAGGTGAGTTTTCAAATGAGATGATAAGAATTGCTATATTACTATATTTGTCTGTTACCTTTCATTTCTCCCTTGTAAAGCTCTTGAGGCTTTAGACAGAAGTGTTAAAAGCTTGTTGGCATCTAGTAATGACTAAATCGCCCTCCTACTCTATGGATATACAGAGAGAGTGAAATACAAGTGCCGTTATGCAATTCATTTAGCTGTTAGTAAACCAAGCGGATGTTAAAAACTGCAAAAGTCAGTTGTTTTTCAGGTGTATTTCAATCCAGTATCGATTATCAATATTCTGCACATGTTTACATGCTAGACGTTTTTTGGTTTTGAGTTGCTATTCATTGCACCAATTGTATAGCCATCTTTAGTAACGGTAAAACCTCAGCCATGTGGATTTGTTGTTTTATTTCGCCTTGAGGACATCTGCATTACTTATGTAGCCTGGTTAATTTCATTCACCATCAATCTAATTTGTGAAACAGTATATGCTTTGCACTGTCCATTACACCAATCACCTATCTATCTATCCAAATTAAATCAAGTTAACTGCAGTTGTATGTATGAGTTATATAATTTGCAATTTTGAAATGCCACTGTCCATGATGATGTGGGATGTTAGTGAGAAACTACTCAGGAAGGGTGCTATGATAAACAGGCTCTGAGCATAAGCCATGACAGTGGTGATAGGACACAATGATACAATCAGCTTGAGGAATGCCCCGTCATGTCAGAACA